TCTTGGAATCCGACCAGACCTCGGCGCCGCGCTATGACGTAATCGGCCTTCAAATCTGGCCTTCTGAGGACGCAGCCCAGGATTTTGAACAGAGCAATGGGCTCCCTCCTCCAAGGAGGCGGTCTACCTGGGTTGGATCCTTCGAAGTGAGCCAAAGCTCACTTCGAAGGATCCAACCTGCTATGGAAGCAAATTGTTACCATATTTCAAATGAACAAGCATTTCCAGAAATGCTTGTTCATTTTAAGAATGAGGCTGCATTGTTTGACTCATAAATGAAATTAGTAATCATCCTAAGCAAAGTACTGTCCATAAAACAAATAAGTAAAGGCGGGAAACTGGTTGAATTCCCGGGTCTGACTATCGGGACACTGAACGACCACAATGACCAAAACAGTGGCAGAGCTGAGGGAGGCCGCTGCTGCTTTAGAGCAAGTGGCTACATCTAATGGACCTGTGGCAACGCCAAACGCTCCTGAGTTTCCCGCCGGCACGTTTACAATGTAATGCAATGCAGACGTGCACAGCGCCCCCTACCGAACAAGATGGGTAGCCCGGTCAGCAAGGAACTGAGGAAGAGCGGCTGCTGACGTCACTGTGCTGCCCCCGCCGCTCACAATGCTTTTTCGTTTTCGAGTTATGGACAGTACTTTGCAGGCAGACCACGAAAACAAAAAAGCAATGTCCGCTGTGTTTTCTCTGATTATGGCATAAAACTGCAGTCTTAAAGAAGAAAATGCAAATAGGATGATTGATTACTAATTTTATTTATGAGTCAAATAACGCAGCCACATTCTTAAAATGAAAAAGCATTTCTAGCATTTTCAAATTTTACATTTCAAATTGAATTTTGGTATGTATTTGCTGGGGTACATTTTGAAAAATAAATCTCAATTGTCTTTTTCCTTTTAATTAAGTAAAAGGATGAGCAGTCTTGAAGAAGAAAATTAAAATGCAAATAGGATGATTGATTACTAATTTCATTTATGAGTCAAGTAATCCAGCCACATTCTTAAAATGAAAAAGCATTTCTGAAAAAGGCTTTTTTATGTGAAATATGGTAACGATTTGCTTCCATATTCCATGGCTTTCGCTACTTGTATGCTCCGTTGCTTAGCAACCGTGAGAGTTGACACACAAAGCAGGAAAAGAATAAAAACCAGACTTTTCTAAACAGTTTTTTTTTTTATGAAGTGAACAAAAAGACTACTCTCATGAGAATCCAGAGTGGAATAAAAGGGAAACCCACTGGGAAACATGAACAAATAAAAGCAAATGTAATGATAGAAACCTTAGTTAATTGTAAGAACTGTAAAT